AGGGTGCAAGTGTGTAAGTGTGTGTGTCTGTGCGTGTGTGTGTGTAAATGTGTATGTAAGTGTGCGTAAGTGGGTGTGTAAGCGTGTGTGTAATTTTGTGTATAAATGTGTGTAAGTGTGCGTGTGAAAGCGTGTGTGTGTGTCTGTGTATGTGTGTGTCGGTGTATTTAAGTCTGTGTATGCGTGTGTGTCTGTGTTTAAGTGTGTGTGTGTGTGTGTGTAAGTTCGTGTGTGTGTAAGTGGATGTGTAAGTTTGTGTGTAAATGAGTGTGTAATTATAAATGTGCTTGTAAGTGTGTGCGTAAGTGTGTATGTGTAAGTTTGTGTAAGTGGATATCTGTGTAAGTGTGTGTGCAAGTGTGCAAAAGTTTTTGAAAGTGTGTGTGAGTGTGTGTAGGTGTGTGTAAGTGTATGTGTGTAATTTAGTGTCTAAATGTGTGTGTGTGTTTATGTGTTTGTGTGTGTAGGTTTGTGTGTGTGTTTATGTGTGTGTAAGTGTGTGTAAATGTGTGTAAGAGTGTGTGTAATTGTGTGTGTGTGTGTTTATGTGTTGTGTGTCCGTGTGTGTGTCCGACCAGAAATCAATAACTCCTGTTCCCATAGACCTGGAACGATTTCAAGATTTCCTAGGAATACTGGCGATATGATGGGATCACCTATGCTGGTTGACAGAACCAGACTCCACCCCAGTGTTCAGGCTTTGAGCGGGAATTCCAAACTCATGACCCCGTGCAGCTAGTGCCTTCAAATTTATTAGTGGTCATGCGAGGATTGGCAGGACGGCAACACTAACGATAGGTGGCAGGACTCGAATTCGGGAGAGGCATGCGTGTAAATTAACGGCCTGAACTTAGGGCTTCAAAATTTGCCAGCAATAAAGGCGGTAGTACTGAAACGCTGATGAGAAGAGGCATGACATCGCTCCGCCCAGAGGGGCAAGACGTACGCGGAACTTGCCAATTTGGACCTGGGGCGCTCAAAGTTTGAACAAATGCACACGGGAGAGATACCAATAGGTAGCAGAAAGTGACTGCACTGGATCCACCCCGCGGAGGCGTAAGGAGTTACAGAGGCTTACTATTTTTGAAATGGGTGTAATTTGAGTGAAAACACGCAAATAAGTAGGAATAAGAGGTAATGAAACATGCACTGCAACACACAGATTTTGAGCAGGGTTTTCCTCATGACGGGTAGAGAACGCACAAGGTTTGTCGGAGTGTACGGGGGTTTCGCGGGAGATCAACAGCTTCCGTTTTTTTTGGACCAGAGCTTCAAAACTTGAGAGTGTGCTGGTGGTAGGTCAACTTCAACACAAGAAGGAGGGAGCCCGGCGTCAGCCGTGCAATCCGACTGGTGGAGGTATGTCACTTATGTATATAATCCGCTAAAGTTTCTTTTGGTGTGTGTATGTGTATGTGTGTATATGTGTGTCTGACCAGAAATTCTAAACTCCTATCTCCGTGAACCTATAGCGTTCAAATTTGGTGGGAAGGCAGGCGGCATGATAGGAACACTTATACTGAGTGGCAGGATCGGGCTCTGCTTGAAGGGGGCTGAGTTTGCTTGAAGTGTTTAAGGGAGCATTCATAACTACTATAATCGTGCGCCTAGATCGTTCAAATTTATTATTAGTACAGGCGGCAGGATGGGAACACTTATGGTAAGTGATAGAACTGAGCGGGTCTGCGCGAAATAAATATTCGGGCGGAATCCTACAACTCCTGTCCCCATGAACCTAGAGAGTTCAAATTTGGTAGTGCTACAACAGCAGGATGGGAACACTTATGGTAGGAGACAGGACCGGACTCCACCCAAAGTATGCGGGGTTTGAGAGGAAATCAATAAATCCTGTGCCAGTGAACTCAGAGCGTTCAAATCTATTAGGGGTGCAGATGGTAGGATTGGTAGGATGGGAACATCAACGATAGGTGGCAGGACTAGACTCCGAGCGGAATTGGCAGTCTGGACCGTACGCATTTAAATCTGCTAGGAAGAAAGGCGGGAGCACGGGAAAGCTGGTGGGAGGTGGCATAATTTGACTTCGCCCACAGGAGGCGAGATGCACGCTAAACTTGCTCATTTTAACCTCGGTCAATCTAATTTGGATTAAGTTCAGTCGGCAGATTCAAGACACCGATGGTAGGCAAAGGAAGGTAACTGAACTAAATCCAGTCCGCGGAGGCATAGAGGGGGGAGGGGATGAATGGGGCTTGAAATAAGCGTACTTTGAGTGAAAAAGTGCAGTCGTGTTGAAATAAGAGGGGGTAGATCCAACGCACGAAGTGTGTCGTGTATAGGTGTTTCGCTGGAAAACAACAGGGGCAATCCGACTGGCAACTGCGTAACGAGAAAGAAAACCCAGGAAGGAAATGAAAAAAAGAATAACAAGCAGGGGCACGGACTATGTTGAACAAGTTGAGGATAAAAAGAAATGAACCACATAATCAGCGTATATTATTCGGAACTCCTATCATGGTCAGTACCACTAATAAGAGGGCGCAGGTGGTATAGTGGTAAGTGGCGCACTATCACACACGCATTATCCAGGGCTTGAATCCCGGTTCGATACTCGCTCAGGCCAACCAGGCCTTTCATCTTTCCGAGGTCAACTAATCGGTGTCAGACTAGTCTGTGTGTATAGAAACATTCACTTGCTTATTGGCTGGCTATCGAAAGTCATTGCATAGGTCTCATAAGCATCCAATGGGCCACTTTGAAAATCTGAATGGAAGTCGAATGCGGTATCGCATATTCCCGACGGGGTTGAGTAATGCCGAACATTTTGAACTTTATCTTAACTGGTGATAAAATGTGAATGACGAATGACGAAAATGATGATTATGAAAATGCCTGTCAGAGGAAGGTGTCAGAAAGCCAAATTTCCGAGTTTCTATAGAAGGGATGTTGCAAAAGCATTTTATGATAGAACCGGAAATGTTGGTCGGCTGTTTCGGGTCAAAAATGCCATGGAGTATAACCTAATCTTTCAAATCGCTAAAGTTTGGTGGGTGAATAGTGGGAAGCCAGTACCCTTTTTTGCATCAACAAGAACTGCAAATGATACCTTTTCCACAAGTCATTGCTAGGTACGTTACGGCATAACCGCTACTTTTCTTCAGACGATGTGGATTCTGATGTCGATCATCAAGATTCAGAATGCAATCACGTTCTTCGTGATAGTAAGTCGCCGACAGGCATTCGAATGAGTATCGTCGGTGAAATCTGAAAACAAAATGCGTTCGCTAGCAGGTCAGAATTCGGTTTTGCATCAAAGGTTACTATCCCCTGTACGCGTCACCCCCTTCATAAAAGTAGTAGCGAGTAAAAGTTAAACAAAAATAGAGAGAGAAGTATGTGGTAGGTAGAAGACAGTTGAACAGCTGGTAAGTTATAAAAATCCAAATCTACAGCTTAAAACAGTCACAATACCTTGCACTCCCCTTCCTTTCTAATGCATGACTCGAAACCGACTCTCTGGAGGCTTGCTCTTTCGGTCAGTCATTACCGCACCTTGGACCATTTCATTTTGTATGGGAACAATGCTCACCCTGATTGTTCAAAAAAAAACGAAAAAAGATGAGTAGAACTTCTCTTCGTTTTTCCTCCCAATCTGGCTGTTACATAAATGAATTCAACTCCACAAGCTTTGAAAAGCCGGATTCGCTGGATAGGAAATTCGAAAAACTTGATTTTAAAGTTCTCATTCCATCATAGGATGAATACGCGTCATTATCAATGACGCTCCTTATAATAATAATCAGAATGCAGTCGACTCTAAAAGCAATTAAAGATATGTGAAGTAGCCGTTTTCTTTTTACCAGCATGAAAGTCGACCTTTGCCTGAACTGGTCAAATCAATACCACCTTTTCCCGGAACAGATCAATTCGTCCATGAGAGAGGTTAAATGACAGGGGTTTTTCAATAGAGAAAATTTACACTTCTCTAAAACTTACAAATGGTATGCCTGAATTGAAAGAAAGTGTACAATCGCACAGACAACGAAAAATACAGACATCCAGGAAACAAGCAGTTTTATTTACGTGAGTTTTTTGGACGTGTACAGCTCCTAAGTACTACTACTTCATTTAAGTATATCAGTTTGCTAAATTTCAAACTTTCTCTTCAAATTTCATTCTATACCAAATGGACCAAATAGGTTACGCATGCTAACGCGTGCATCACATGTCCATAACGGCTTAACTATGATATTGCTCAAGTAGAAATAATGGGAAACAGATTGTGGACAAATAGAAGAGGCTTCCCAGTCAACGACGTAAAACTATCTCTCATAGGCATCCATGTTCGACTCTCGATGAATCTCGGCATAGCTTTGCATTAATGTTATAGGACTTTTTTTAAAACCTGCTGCCAGATGTTAAATAAGTTCTTATCAACTTACGTTTCAGCGTAATCGCCTTCTTCAGAGCCTGGAAACCTGTATATTATCACTATCCAACATTCATTCAACAAATAAACTTTAAAACCGATTCCCCAGACTAAATGTCTCCAAACGGGCATGATAACCCTAAACATTTCTCACCCACCTCTAGGAACAACCGGTCGTTTGGACGACCGCCGCTAAACTGACCCATAGGCACTTGGGGTAGCTTTGGAAGATATGCCCTATCCCTCTCGCCGTGATACTGGGGCAAACAAAACCCACAGAGGTCAGAGAAAGGCGCGAGTTCATTGGCTACGGTCAGGCACTCCTCCTTAATATTCATTTTTGGGGACTTGGCGCTTATGAAAAATGACTCAAGTGTCTTTCGTGCAGAAGTGAGGGGTTCCCGCATTAGGATCCTAACTGTAATTCCAAACACCGCACCTTCATGGGACTCTACTCGGTGACCACCCAAGGGGGTCTCCATCCTTGCTCGATTCATCCTCACATGGATTGCATGTGATCAGGTAAACGACGCCTGGTGTCATGCAGTCACCATCCTGTCCATTAGGGCAGATCACGCAATTGGGTGTCAGGCAAATTCGATCGTAGCAGCGGTTTCGAACCAGCCGCTGCTTCAGGTTTTCAGGTGGGATTTCGACCACTCGTACCATTTTCTTTAGGCCACACTTTGCAGCGCCGCCCTTATTTCAGAGCTAATAGCATCACTAATATAGGGGATGCAGAACGCCACTTTATCCGAGCTATCGATGGTGGGGCCATGTTGTTCCTTTTTATGTGCTCCACAACTATTTTCAAGAGCCAGAGGGTAAACATCGGAAAGTGCGATCTTTCTCGCAAGTTCCAAAGAGNATTTTCTTTAGGCCACACTTTGCAGCGCCGCCCTTATTTCAGAGCTAATAGCATCACTAATATAGGGGATGCAGAACGCCACTTTATCCGAGCTATCGATGGTGGGGCCATGTTGTTCCTTTTTATGTGCTCCACAACTATTTTCAAGAGCCAGAGGGTAAACATCGGAAAGTGCGATCTTTCTCGCAAGTTCCAAAGAGTCCGCTTTCTCCTGCCTTCCGGATGACACCAATATGGCCGTCTTAAACATGATACTTTTGATCGCTTGATTTTGAAGGGATGCACCGAATTGAAGTGTACTAGAATGTTTTTGTCACTGGGTTTTCGATACCATTTGGTACGGTGACAACCCTCTTCAAGCCTGACTTGCGTATTAAGGAAAGGAAGCCAATTATCTCTTGGCTTCTCACGTGTGAATTCATTGTTTTCTGCTTGTCTGTTAAGCAGTTCGTAACACGTGCCCATTTCCTCTTCCGTTGAACAGACGACGAAACAGTCGTCTATGTAGCGGCAATACACAACAGGTCGGCGATCCAGTAACGGCTTTCCTATTCTGAACATATAGGCTATGGCTAGTACAGATGCCAGTCGCTGCTCCATGGTCAATCCCCTGATTTGCCTGTAATATTGGCCGGACCACCTAAAAATGGAATATTCAAGACACTCTTTTATAAGAACCATTATCTGTGTGATGGGAAAGCCATAAGTGTTAACCGATGGTTCATATTCATTGAGCAGTCCCAGAAGGCCTGCATAGCATCCTCATTGGATACATTGGTGTAAAGGGATGTAACATCGAAGGGTTCCATGACGTGATTGGGTGTGAAACTGGCATCCCGCAACCGGTCGAGGAACATATTAGTATTGGTAAGGTGCGCAGGAATGTACTGTAGCAACTGTGCTAAGGCCCGATTTAGCATCCATGAAATTCTATCGCTGGATTGCTTGATGACAATGTAGTATGGGAAAGCTTATGTGTTTTGATGAGTGTCTAGAGAACAGGGCAGGTAGGAAGGTCCAATTTCAATCATCTAACTACCCTTCGAGATAGTTTCGAAGATCGCACTGTCTCAACCAACCCACACCCTGTTTAGCCGCCGGTATTGCTTATTGAACCCTTCCAAAGAAGACGGATTGTACAGAGTCTCGTCCTCTAGATGTACACATATCAAATCTTAAAAGCTCAATCTATCGTACCCGTTAGTCCGCCGGATTGCTTAGACATTTTAGATTAAAATCGCATATGAATGTTACGCCTGAGTATCTTAAATATCGAGGTTGCAAATAGGCGAAATTTGATATCTACTGCAATGTTAGGGTCTTGTGGTTTGAAAAACGGGTGAGGGAAAGGTATGGCTGGCTCTTACAGTTATCAAATGGTATCGAAAACCCAGTGACAAAAACATTCTAGTACACTTCAATTCGGTGCATCCCTTCAAAATCAAGCGATCAAAAGTATCATGTTTAAGACGGCCATATTGGTGTCATCCGGAAGGCAGGAGAAAGCGTACTCTTTGGAACTTGCGAGAAACATCGCACTTTCCGATGTTTACCCTCTGGCTCTTGAAAATAGTTGTGGAGCACATAAAAAGGAACAACATGGCCCCACCATCGATAGCTCGGATAAAGTGGCGTTCTGCATCCCCTATATTAGTGATGCTATTAGCTCTGAAATAAGGGCGGCGCTGCAAAGTGTGGCCTAAAGAACATGGTACGGGTAGTCGAAACCCCACCTGAAAACCTGAAGCAGCGGCTGGTTCGAAACCGCTGCTACGATCGAATTTGCCTGACACCCAATTGCGTGATCTGCCGTAATGGACAGGAGGGTGACTGCATGACACCAGGCGTCGTTTACCTGATTACATGCAATCTATGTGAGGATGAATCGAGCAAGGATGGAGACCCCCTTGGGTGCTCACCGAGTAGAGTCTCATGAAGGTGCGGTGTTTGGAATTACAGTTAGGATCCTATTGCGGGAACCCCTCACTTCGGCGCGAAAGACACTTGAGACATTTTTCATAAGCGCCGAGTTCCCAAAAATGAATAGGAAGGAGGAGTGCCTGGCCGTAGCCAATGAACTCGCGCCTTTCTCTGACCTCTGTGGGTTTTGTTTGCCCCAGTATCACGGCGAGAGGGATAGGGCATATCTTCCAAAGCTACCCCAAGTGCCTATGGGTCAGTTTAGCGGCGGTCGTCCAAACGACCGGTTGTTTCTAGAGATGGGTGAAAAATGTTTAGGGTTATCATGCCCGTTTGGAGATATTTAGTTTAGGGAACCGGTTTTTTGAAGTTTATTTGTTGAATGAAGGTTGGATAGTGATAATATAAGGTTTCCAGGCTCTGAAGAAGGCGATTACGCTGAAACGTAAGTTGATAAGAACTTATCTAACATCTTGGCAGTAGGTTTTAAAAAAAAGTTCTATAACATTAATGCAAAGCTATGCCAAGATTCATCGAGAGTCGAACATGGATGCTTATGAAAGATGTGGCAACCAACTAATTCCCACCCGTGAAGGAAACTCTTTCGCTACGACAAAAGATCACTGTAGCGAATTAGACCGACCACTTCCCCAGGCGCTGCCTTAAACATCACGTCGTCCCTATTTCATCAGGAATAAGCGACTACACGAGGTATGCGGCCTCCCGCCTGGCAGCAAGCAAATAGAAGATATTGAGCTCCGCATTCTGAGGACAACTTTGAAAAACAAGAAAAATCAGTTTTTTCTATGTTAAACAAATGCTTGTCATAAGAAATGCGTTGTCAACGGTTACTGCCTAGTCGCCAGTGGGATTGGATTGTGGGTGAGTCAAAGATTACTTGCGATTCCAACCGTTCAAACACAGAGATGAAACTTCAAAACAGTTTCAATAGACTGATGGATCTGAAGGGGCATAACCTATCACAATCACTGAAAGATTCCACCCCTACTAAATCGCGGTTTGACAGCAACAAGGTAGAAGTTTCAA